AAAAGCAGGGAGGCAATTGGCATTCAGAGCGTAGCATGCTTGACTTCAGATCTTTTGTAGCGGACAATCAATTGTTAGACTTGGGTTTTGTTGGTTATCCCTTCACGTGGAGAAATAAGAGGCAAGAGGGGGGTATACAGGAACGATTAGATAGGGCCCTGGGATCCGTACAGTGGTTACATCATTTCCCTGAAGCCAAAGTAATTCATGAGGTGGTGGAAGGCTCTGACCACTCTATGCTTCTGCTTCAGACCCATGCAACGAGGAAGAAGAGGAGAGGCAGGTTTATCTACGACCCGCGTTGGGGTACTCTTGCGGGATGCAAGGCAGTGGTTGCTCATCAGTGGGCCAAGGATACACGGGGACCTAAAGGTGATCAGGTTCATGGTAAGCTGTTATGGGTTCGGAAAGGGCTGTTAGATTGGAAAAGGCGAGAATGGAGGAACTCTCAAGTGTGTATTGATGCTATTAGAACTGAATTACGGTCTGAGTATAAGAAAAATGTTTTTGATGCCGGCGCTGTGAAGGCTTTGGAACTTCGGCTACACAGTGCTCTTAAAGACGAGGAAATTTACTGGAAGTTAAAATCAAGAGTGCAGTGGTTAAATGAGGGAGACAAGAATACTAAATTCTTTCATACAAAAACCATTGGCCGACGTCGACGGAATTTGATGAAGGGGCTGGAAGACGATTGTGGACACTGGTGTGATGAGTCTGTGGATATGAAACGAATTGCCATGGGTTATTTTTCTTCAATATTTACATCAGATTGTCCTAACCATATACATAAAGTAACTGATTGTGTGGAACGGAAGGTTAAGCCTCAGCAAAATGCCTTGCTTGTGAAACCTGTGTCTGAAGTGGAAATTGTTGACGCTGTGAAAGCTCTGCATCCTACGAAATCTCCGGGCCCTGACGGTTTCACAGGGAGCTTCTATCACCATTATTGGGATACCATTGGTGGGGATGTTATTGACGCAGTTAAAAGCTTCTTTGAGACTAGGTGTATGTCAAGGGAGATCAATCGTACTTATATTGTGTTGATTCCAAAAGTGGACAATCCCACCAAAATTACACAATGGAGGCCAATTGCTTTGTGCAATGTTTTGTACAAAATAATTTCCAAGGTGTTGACGAACAGGTTGAAGAGGGTGATGGCCTCAGTGATTAGTGTGAACCAATCGGCATTTTTACAAGACAGGTTGATCATGGATAACATTCTTATTGTGCATGAGATCTTACATTCAATGAAGTCAAATAAAGGCAAGGGGAATTGCTATATGGCACTGAAATTGGACATGGCCAAGGCGTATGACAGAGTAGAATGACCTTTCTTGGAGGCGATGATGCACGCACTTGGCTTTGATTCACGGTTTTGTGGGTGGATTAAGGAATGTATTGCTACAGTGTCTTATAATGTTCTAGTTAATGGTGAACCAACGGGGAACATTTTACCATCACGGGGTATCCGGCAAGGGGATCCTCTATCCCCTTTCTTGTTTTTAATTTGTGCGGAAGGGCTATCTGCAATGATCAAAAAGGCTGAGGCCTGTCGCCAGATCCAAGGCTTTCGGTTTTCTATGAATAGTAGCACTATTTCCCATTTATTTTTCGCGGACGATTCAGTTTTATTTTGCCGGGCGGAGGTGGCTGAAGTGGCATGTCTGAAGCGCATTTTGCAGAGCTATGAACTAGGCTCAGGCCAACGTGTTAATCTGGATAAAAGCTCTGCTCTCTTTAGCCCCAAGTGTCCAGCCAGCCTGCGTCAACAGTTGGTAGCTACCATCGGTGTACATGAACAGGACGGTTTTGGGTGTTACTTGGGCTTGCAGGCTGATTTTGGGGCCTCTAAAAAGGCTGTTTTTGAGGGGATTCGGAAGCGACTAACATCCAAACTTTTGGGCTGGTCGGAGCAATTTTTATCTCAAGCGGGCAAGGAAGTCTTGATTAAGGCGGTTGCTATGGCTTTACCGACCTATGCTATGTCATGTTTCAAATTGCCAGTTACCTTATGCAAAGAGATTGAAGGCGATATAGCAAATTTTTGGTGGAAATCTTCCAAGGATAAAGCAGGGGTACACTGGACCAGCTGGCAAAAATTGTGTAAGGTGAAAAGTGCAGGAGGACTAGGCTTCCGGGATTTGATTTGCTTTAATTTGGCTCTCTTGGCGAAAACATGCTGGCGGATCTTCCGTCACCCTGATTCCTTGTTGGCCCAGGTTCTACATGATAAATACTGGATGGGACGTGATTTTTGGTCTGCAGATGCAGGGTATGGGTCATCCTGGGGGTGGAAAAGTTTGGTGCAGGGGCGCCGCATTCTTGAGGCGGGGTTAAGATGGAGGGTTGGAAATGGGGAGAGCATTAAAATTCTTGAAGATCGGTGGTTCCCCCAACCTTATAGCTTTCTGGTTCAATCTCGCCATCCTGAGATGCCTATTTGGGTAAAGGATTTGATTGACTCTGATACGAAGTGTTGGCGATATACTGACGTGCGTGACTGGTTCAGGGAGGAGGAAGCACAGGTTATTCTTAACATGCCTATAAGCAGCAGGGGTTGTCCAGATAAACCAATCTGGCACTTTACCAAACATGGCGACTACACGGTTAAATCCGGTTATGAATTGGCTGAGAGCTTAAATAGGAATGGTGAGTTAACCCGAAAGGGAGATGGAGATTGTAGCAACCCGCAGGAGCAAAAGAGCTTTTGGAAAGGTATTTGGAGTTTAAAAGTTGCTCCAAAAATTAGATCCTTTCTATGGAGAGGGTGTTTGAATACTTTAGCAGTGCGGGACAATTTACGGAGACGGAATATGGGAGGGGAAATCAAATGTGGGTTGTGTGATCAGGAAGATGAGACTCAGTTGCACTTATTCTTCAAATGTGAGTTTGCTCGTGCCTTCTGGTTTGCCTGTCCTTTACAACTGGACACTACTACTGTTGAGGGCGGTGATTTTGCCTCTTGCTGGGCTTACTTGCGGGGAAAGTACGCGGGCTGTGATCAACCCGGGGATCTTATGCAATGGCTCGCTTATGGGCTATGGAGACTATGGAAGTGCCGTAACTCTATGGTATTCCAAGGCACTTTAGTAACCCCTCGGGAGGCCGCAGATATATTGGCTGTACAGGTGGGGGAGCTTCGGGATGCTGGTATGTCTAAGTCTTTGTTGATCAATGATCTTCCTAGACCCCCTGAGAAGACCCAACGAGTCCAGCACAAATGGGAAAAACCAAGGCATGGTGTTGTGAAAGTGAATTGTGATGGGGCCTGGGTTGCACAGACAATGGTGGGAGGCTATGGGTGGGTAATAAGAGACTTTGTGGGTTGGATGTTGCAAGCAGGAGGAAAAGGAGATATGCGATATGGGTCTGCTCTTATTGCGGAAGTGGATGCCATTCGTGCAGCTGTGGTGGCGTGCCAGCAAGGAGGTTTCTCTCACATCATAGTAGAATCTGATTCTCTTACTGCCATTCAAATGGTAAAAGGGGATCGGGTGGTGGATGCGGAGGTGGAAGGTTTGCTCTTCGATATCCATGCTGTGACAAGAGAACTCCAGGAGGTGACTTTTACTTATGCTCCTCGCAGCTGTAATTCGGCTGCTCATGAGGTTGCGGTTTATGTTTGTAGGAATGGAGGTCTTTATTGGTGGGACTTTATTCCCCCTGAATGGTTGTTTAATACTTTGGCTTGTGAGGCCAATGTAAGTGCTCGACTTTAATGTTTTTAATAATACTATTGATTTGGAAAAAAAAAAAAAGAAGATAAATTCGTCGATTAATAAAGAGTTATTGGACCATTTGAACAAATAATTTAGTTGAGTGACCAAAATGCAATTTGGGTATAAATTTGAGGACCATTTGAGTAAATAACCCTATTTTCCCCATTAAGCATTTTCTGAAAATGACACAAATTATTAAAAGAAATGGTGTCATTATAACATGAACTCTGCTCGCGTCATCCATTTTGTGTTTTTTGGATATTTGTTTCTAATGGTAAAATTAGTATTAAGTAATGTAATTTGAGTATTTATTTATAGGATTAGAAGTGTTGAATGGTATGTAAAAGTGAGTTACGTTAATTGGTTTTTGAGTTTGAATATCCCTCCTTTTATGTTAGAGTGGGTGGCGACGTACACGCAATGTGCTTTGTCAGAATTATCGTTTCTCCAGTTAACTTTAACCAGTAACATTGTATGTGAGACTAGGGTTTAGGTCTGATCTTTGTGACGTCAGAGGAACCCTCATAAAATGGGTTAACTAAACTTCATTTGATTGGTCCATTTTACATAACCATATACTAATGTTGTCTTTGGTTTCTTGCGAGAAATGTCTGCCATGAGGCTCAAGTTTGGTGTGATCTTTGTGACGTTAGAGGAAACCTCATAAAACGGGTTAACTAAACTTCATTTGATAGGTCCACTTTACATAACCATAAACAACGTTATGTTTGGTTTCTTTCGAGAAATGCATGTCCTGAGGCTCGTGTTGGGTGCAATATTTTTGACGATAATCTTTGTGACATTAGAGGAAACCTCATAAATTAGGTTAACTAAATTTCATTTGATTGGTCGATTTTACATAACCATGAACAACGTTGTGTTTGGTTTATTGCAAGAAATGTCTGGCCCACAAAAAATGAAGTCGCCAATGGACGCTTCCCCTACCTTTAGGCAATTAGGTGCATCATTTTTGGGGAACCCATATTTGGTCAATGTTCATAAGTTACTATGGAGAGCTATGCTATAGTTCAATTGGTGTACAATTTATGGTCATAGATAATTGGTGAATCCATATTCAATCAATGGTCATAAATTACACTAGAGAGCTATGTTGCAAGTCCATTGGTGTACGATTTCTGGCAGTAAATGATTGGGGAACCCCTATTTCATCAATAGTCATAAATTCAACTAGAGAGCTATTATAAGTCAATTAGTATATAATTTTTGGCCGTGGATAATTGGGGAACTCGTATTTGGTGAATGGTCATAAATTACCCACATTCAAATAGAGCCATCAAAGAGCTTCCCCTTATCGTCTCGTCTTTTTGAGATGCGTCGCTTCTTTGAACAACACTGTATCCTTCTCAAATAGAGCCAGTCCACTGCAATCACCGAATTACTATTATCATTTTAATCTCAGATTCTTCCTAAGATAAAACATTGATAATTTCTTATGAGATTTTGAGCCAATTATGGGACAACCAAAACACAATATGCACCTAATACAAAATCACAGCAACAACTCTAGCATGTTATACATTGCAAGTGTTACACTGCTTGCTAAACAACATTTATATACTGGCAACATGGCCTCTCGGAAATCGTGACTGTAAACCGCGTCGTACAGCACCGTAAATCTCATCAGTTTCAGCCATTGCACCATTTTTAGTGAGAGGAAGGATGAGTGAAATTTTGAGTTCATCTTTGATCGTCCTGATATGTCGTTGCGTGAACGGATTGTTCCACATCAAGGTGTTCATGGCCGGTGCAACAAATAAAGGCTTGCTGAAATCCCATGCATATACAACATAGGATAGCAGATTGTCACACAATCCCCTAGCAATCTACAGAAACATAAGAAAAAGAAAGTTTCTTTTGAAATACTCAACTTTATAAGGTAATGAGATTTCCAGAATGTTAAATATTACCTTGCCTAGTGTGTTTGCTGATAATGGGGCAATAACCATGATATCAGCCCAACTGCGGAGCTCAATGGAAAGCAAGCTATCACCTGTTGTGTTCCATCTGGACCGTTCATCCTCATCGGCGTAAAGTATTACATCCCTGGATAGTGATGCTCTATCAATGAAATGAAAAGATGCTTTTGTGGCAACTGCTCTAACTTCTGACCATCCAGAAAAACTACGGCAGAGGTGAGCAAACTTTGTGGCAGCTATACTTTCGCTAGCAGCGAGGAGAATCTGTGGCTTGCTCAGAACAGCGTCAGCTTGCATTGGCTCCCAATGAGAGAGATCCCAGGTCCAGCACAAGCCATAACCTATTCATGAGATGCCAACTTATTCTTAAACATCCTAGGTTTACACAAGATCAAAACTATTTAAAACAAAAGAAAATCAGGCTATGCATAAAGCCTCAATTTAGACCAGTTTGCATGCCCAACAAACCACAAAGAAAACATCTTGCTAAGCAATAACGTCACGTTGTTGAAATCGTGACTGTAAAAGAGTCTTACAGTAAAGTGGATTATGGAAGGTTCAGCCATTGCACCATTGATTGGTGGGACGAGAGAAATTCCTTGTTCATCAATGGACATCATATGTCGCTCTGTGAAGGGATTGCTCCACATTAAGGTGTTCATGGCCGGTGCAACAAAGAAAGGCTTGCTGTAATCCCATGCATGTACAACACAGGTGAGTAGATTGTCACACAATCCCTCAGCAATCTACAAAAACAAGGGACATCAATTATAAAACATATACACAAATTTAGGAGTACAAACTATAGATTTCAGACATTAAACCAGATAAAGCCGAGCAAAGCCGAGCAAACATACATGCCTGTATGCATACAATTAAAGATATTGGGCCAAATTTACCAAAGCAAATTATTTTTTATTTTCCCTGTCTGAGTGAAATGAGAAGAAAATAATGCAATCATGAAGCAATACAATCCCTAACTCTAAAAGCATGCGCCTTCTCTGCTTTCTGCAATTCCTTGCAAGATGCAGTTGCCTAAAAACAACTAAATTTCATTGATAAGTCCCAAATATAAAACAATTGTCAACTTGGTTGCCTTGTGAATGAGATTTTTCTTATCCATTTGATAATCTCATAAAGTTATATCTTGGAAGGCTAATGCCAGAAGGTACTTTCAGTTTTAGCTATGACCTTTTTTACTATATACTAACTCAAAACAACTTTATAAAGTAATGAGACATCCAAGTTATGAAATATTACCTTGCTTAGTGTGTTTGCTGATAATGGAGCAATAACCATGATATCAGCCCAACGGCGAAGCTCGATGTGAAGCACGCTATCACCCATATGGTTCCAATTGGACCACTCATCCTCATCAGTGTAAAGAATTACATCATTGGGAAGTGATGCTCTATCAAGGAAATGCAAAGCTCCTCCTGTGGCAACTGCTTTTACTTCTGCCCATCGAGAAAAACTATGGCAGAGGTTACCAAACCTTAAGGCAGCTACACTTCCAGTAGCAGTAAGTAGAATCCGTGGCTTCCTCGTAGCATCATTGGCTTGTATTGGCTTTGATCCTCCACTACTCCCAGGTTCAAAGCAAGCCATAACCCTATTCCACAGATGCCAACCTGTTCTTAAACAATTCACCTAAAATATGAAAAGGTGATTACTAGATAATGCCTAAATTTAATAACACAACGAGACAATCCATAATGAATTTGAACCAATTGCACATTCTTAAGCGCATATATGAGTGATCCACATCCCCAAGAAAACCAAAAAGAAAAGGCAGCCATGTTGAGAAAATTAAAATATGCATGTAGTGCTATAAAACAGATGATATATGTAGGTAACCACAAACCCAAAAAAAACAAACAAACTAGATAACCAGACATATTGTCCAGCTAGCTGCTTCGTTCCCTGCTCCATAAAACTCAACTCAAGAAAAGTATTTCCATTTATGTTCTTTACATGATAACTCATTCCCAGTCAAGTATATTGAGGGCCAATTCAAGCCAACTCTAAAAGGTTCGAAATTTTAATCTAAATAGATGACCCTCTTAATTTCTCCAGGACAAGAAACAATTCAATACCAAGAACAGCTTTTTTCACCAAGATACACTAAAACTTAGCAAACTTAGAGTGAAAATTTAAACAATGGGTTGGATTCTACATTCATCCTAGCCCATATTCTTGCAAAAAAAGATCGAAAGTGACAATCTTAGACAACCCATTTAAGAATTTAATAAAGAAATGCAAGAAAACTACTAAACTTGCTGATTAGAAAAACAATAACATGCCAAGCTTCAATGGTTATAAAAAAAATCTGTAAGAAAAACTGTGTAATTACAGATCCTACAGAATTAATTAGGCTTCTAAGGAACTGACCTTTCCACCTAACTGTGTTGCAATGAAAATGAAATGGAATTTCGTGCTGATATTGAAAAGAAGCCTCTGAAGCTTTGGTTATTACTTTCTCAGTGACTTACTATCAAACACCTTCGCCACATTTATACAAGAACGACCTTCTTTCCCTCTCAATCCCACAAACTAACAAACAGATTACAGAGCTTCCCTGTTCAACTAACTCCTAACTAACTTGCTGACGTGGCCTATTTGAAGTCTATCACTTCAACCAGGCCAGACCAGTGATTCATCTATAAAGTCTCTCACTAACAGGCAACTGTCCACCATTGGATTTGATCGGAGGAGTATGCATTGGTGGTGGGCTGTTGGAAGAAGGTGGCGAATGGTATTTTTTCCGTACCTCATTCTTTCCAAAATGGCAAATATGGACTTCACCTCTTCCCTTTCCCGCGCTCCAAATATTCTACGTAAACCCAGCTACCCACCCGGCTCACAAATAAGTGCAAGTTCATACATTATCAACAAATTAACAATCAAGTTGTGACTTGGGGGTCTTCAATTGAAGTACAACAATTTTTTTGTTATTATTTATGCATAGATTTCACGTCACTTAAAATGTGTTACTAATCGAACCCATCTAACATGTTATATCACATAGATATTGATAATATAGCATAAAACGCTTTTGATAGGGTTTGGTATAAAAATTTAGAAGTGCTTATGGGTCATAGAAATACTTTTTGAAGAATCACATGTTATATGTTTTTTCATAATGCACTCCCAAGTGCTTCTGAATTTCTTATGAAAATTTCAAAGTTTTTATAATAACAATACTTTTTAGAAGTGTTTATAAATTATAAGCAAAAATGCTTCTCAAAGAAGTAGTCCCAAACAAATCCTATAATCAAATTAATTATAAATATTTGATTTGTTAAAACAACAAATTATCATATTTCCATTGAAAGTTTTGAATGATATCTTATTTGTTATTGGGCTAACGACAAAAGACACCTTGCAAATTTGGGGTGGTTCTCAATATGGATCCTAGGGTATCAATTTTATTAATTTACACCCTAACATTTTCAACATTATCCAATTTCTGACGTTGTGGTCAATCGTTAAATGCTGACGTGGCACTCGTGGAACTCACCCCACCAGCGGACAGACCATTCCATGTACGAAAACTAAAGGGTATTTTGGGGTTGGAACATTTATATAAAAAATCTGAAATTTTGCCCAATTTGGCACGATTAGCCTTTAACCCCATCAGTCATTGTCAACCTCACATTTAACCTAAGGCCACTTAAAATTCCATAGTTGAGAGCTGAGAGCTATGAATTAGAATAAGTGAGCAGCCCAAAAGGTTTATTCAACTGTAGTGGTGTGTTAACCCAGAAAATGAAGAAGAAATGGAGGAACATTCGATGGTGTGTTGGTGTGGTAAAAATGCCAACCTCTTGGACAGTTTCGAATCTTGGGAGGCAATTTGTTGTGTACAACGGTAAAAAAAAACTGGAAAATATGAGATTTTGAATTATAGCAGGTGCAAGTATGAATTTACAGAGTGGGTTTTGTGCAGGGTAGAGAAGGTTGTGATTTCTGGGTTTGATATGATGTAGAAATGTGTCAAATTTTGGTTCCAAATCGATAAAGAATGACTTTGGAATGCGTGCCAAATTGGGTGCAATTTAGATTTTTTTTTTTTTTTTTTTTTTTGGGTTGAATTTTCCAACCCCAAAATGCCCTTTAGATTTCGTACGTTGAATGGTTAGTCCGCTAGTGGGGTGGGTTCCACGGGTGCCACGTCAGCATTTAACGATTGACCACACGGTCAACTTAACGGAATGATGAAATTGGACGATGTTGAAAACGTTAGGGTGTAAATTGATAAAATTGATCCATATTGAGAACTACCCTAAACTTGCAGAGTGTCTTTTATCATTAACCCTGATTTATTTTACATTTGGAATAGATTCAATTTCATATCAAAATTCAATTCATTGACAAGTATGTGTGTTGTTTAGTGAGCGAGACGCGTATAAGGTATACTTGTTTTTCTTTTTGAGAAATGCTGAACCCGCCGAATCCACCAAGAGCACATAACTCGCCACGTACTGCGTGTCATTTTAAACGACAAAAAGGTAAAACGAGTTCAGATTAGGAGGGAAACCAAAAATGGACAGTGGCGTTATGGCGGCAAAATAGTCAAGAGTGTTTCTCTATCCAGCGCTTTAGCTGCGACTGAAGATTCGCTCTTTTCAGTCTTCCCATCCACGATCCAGCTCTCGCAGCTCGCAAGCAGATGCAAGTTCAAAGGTGCACTTCAATTTTATCTTCTCATTTTCGAAATTCTTTATCCGTAATTGTATTTGATTTTACTTTCGGCCTATGCATCTTAGCAATTTGAATTCTGATCATCTGTGCTTTGTGATTGTATCAATTGTCGCCAGGCGATTGATTGCGCTATTGACGATTTTGTGTTTTGAGTCCTATATAAATGCATAATCTGTTCATCTGAATAGTTTTGAGGAAAAAAGTTCATAGAACGCAAACTTCTTCCCTCTAAATGGTTAGGAACTTTTCGTTCACAGTTATATATATGTATACACATTGCTTGTGTATAGCTAGGTAGGGAAATGTGTTAGAGATGCTCTGAACAATTTGTTAGTATCAGAATTCCAGGAGCATCAATCTGTTTAGAAAATACAGAAGACAAGGTTGAGAGGGATTGAAATAAGGTTTTGGGAGAATTGAGGGGATGAATTTGTTAGAAAGAAGAAGACAGTTTGAGTGAAGAAGGGGAAGTGAGAGGACAAAGTTAAGGTTAAAGTTTGAGGAGCTAGTGTTCAGAGAAGAAATCATTTTGTCATGTGGTGACGAAAGGTTGAAGTAGAGAGGGCAAATAAGGGAGATAGTAACACAAGAATGTGTTGCAGGTTGGTTAGTGGGAGCAGGAAAATAAATTTCAGTGATAAATTGGAAATTAAGGATTATAATAGTTGAGGAGGAAATTCGATCTTTTGCTAGTTTTCTGATTTTCTGATTGGAGGGTGGCTTTATTGCATGGGCTGATTAGGTTAGTTTTCTGATTTTCTGATTGGAGGGTGGCTTTATTGCATGGGCTGATTAGGTTGTTTTAACAGGTTACTCGTGCGTGTTTGTTATTAGCTGGATTTGGTATCCAGTGGACATCTTCCGTTTTTTTGTATGTTTGGATGATTAATTTTAACGAGATTTTGTTGCTCGTAAAAGAACTTTTTTTCAGTGTAGTTGGAATGCTTGTGCACTAGCTCCTTTGGTGTTCTTGCATTATCTTCTAATATGCCTTTGGCTATTAAACTCGCAACCTTCAAGTAATTTGCTCAAGAAACTAGCTAGTGTATTAAACTGTATGACATCTTTTGGTTATGCTCGCCGTTTTTACACAAATGGCTAAATGCCCTCTTAGTCATGTGAGCAAACAACTAAATTAGAACCTCACTTTTTGCTCCACGAGCCAATTTACAAATGTTTAATGTTGTGCCACTCAATGTGGGCTTTGTCTTGCTCTTTAGACATGCATTGAAACTTCTCGGTGGCTACTCATCTCTCTTATCTTTTGTTCTGGACAACTTGCTGGCTGGGAAGTGCAGTCTGGCCATTAATGGACGTGGCCCTCGTGTTTTTTGGTCAAATCCCCTCACGCAGACAAATCCTGCAAATCAAACTTTTGAGTAAACTGAGATTTCTATGAACTTTCGCTGAGACATTTTGTGACACAACAACTAAGTCTAAAAAAGTGAACTTGAGCATATTTGCTTATAGTTCAGCCATAAGATGCATTTCTGTTCCAACAGTCATTGAGAATGCAATCTGTGAAGCAATAAAGCCATGCTTAGGCAAGTTTCAGAATTTTTCATTCTAAGATAGGAAAGTGCACTCTCCTAGCAATTAGGTTTCCTAAGGTACCAATAATCCTTGTCATTGAGTACATTCTTGGTATGAACCTACAAAATGCTAATCAAAGAGCTCTATCTGCACAAGCAGTTACCAGAAGGAATATATATATTTGAAAGTATCATTAGCTCATAGGATTAAGATGTTAGAAATTGCAAGATTCCAGAGGAAGTAGGCCTTACGTTCCCTTCTTAGAAGTACAAGGTTTTGAATATAACGTACACAAGTCAACAATAATAGACTAATGGCTACTTTGTGCATGCATATAGCCAATTGAAAGGACTAATGGATAAATTCCACAT